GGTTGAAATTTGTCATTTTGTCTTTCTTTTTTCTTTTCCTATAACTTCGCATAAATTATTGAATGAATATGCAATTTAAAATTTTCAATATAATAATACAATAAAAATTGTTAGATAAGAAAAAAAATTTTTTTTGAAAATTTTTGTTTATATTTCAAAAATGATTGCTAAAATTTTTGAAATGAAAAATTTTTTTTTTTTTTTAATTAAAAAGAATTTTAACATTTTTTTTTTCACCATTATCATATTTATCCTATTATCATTTGATGATAAGAAATCATTCAGGATATGAAATTAAATTTTAAAAAATATCTATTCCTTAAATATATTGGATTACTTTTTTTACATCCATGCTAATGAATAAGTTGTTTTTTTTTTTGTTTTTTATTGAATGATAATTTGTTAAGCTTTTCCTAGCTAATTAATGTTAGGCTTTTCCTAGCTAACTAGCTAACTTTTTGCTAGCTATTACGTTGATAATTTGTTAAGTTAAGCTTGTTTACATTTCCTTATCATTTTGAAACGTTCCAATCGATGCAAAAAAAATATAACATATGGATAGCTTCCATATCCATAAATATTGGTAGAAAATTTAATAATTAAAAGATTGAAAAATTACAAAATAAAAAACGATTTAACATTAAAAAAACGATTAAAAACGATTTAACGATTTAACATTAATAAATATTAAATTCAAAAAAAATACAAAAAAAATTTTAATGAAATTTTAGTCGTTTCGATTTGTTTTCAATGATAAAAGTTTAATCATTTAGCAAAAGTAAAAAAAAATAAAAAATCGACAATTTAAAGAAAATATTTTATGAAAGATGGAAAAAATTGCAGAAACAAAAATTCATTTTACGCAAAAATTATTTCTATCTGATCAATCAATCAATCAAATCAGTCAATCGTTTAATCAATCAATTAATCAATCAATCAATGCGATTACTTGAAATAATCAAAAAAAAAAGAAAAAGGAGGAAACGAAAAAAAATAAAAAATAAAAATATTCATTAAAAAGAAATGAATGAAGAGAAATGGCGTGGATTAATTGTTTGCTTAGTATTACTTCAACAATACTGCAAGCATTAAATGAAGTTTTCGGTTAGTTGAAAATAATGAATCATTAAATAAATAGAATGGATAATATAAATTTCATATTGTTTGCGCAGATTTTTTTTTTTAAAAATTCAAATTTAATTGAATTTATAGAAATAAACCAAATAGATTGGCTTAAAATAAATTAATTCCGCTTAATTTGTAAAAAAGTAAGCTCCTTTTTTTTTTCTTCACAAAATTTTTAGAATTTCATTAATAGATGATGATGATGATATGGATTGTTATATACAAATGGAAGAAATGGATAAAGAGATTATCTAGACATTTCATACTCGGGTATTTCTTTAAATAAGTTCATAGTTCATTCATTGCCTTTCTTTTCCTTCATGAAATCATAAAGCAGCAAAATAACTGTCATAAATTATTACTGATATCGAGAGATTATTGGTATCAAAGAATTATTGTTGATATCAAGAATTACAACCAATTGTTAGCAAACTATTGTTATCAAAGATTACAAATGATATCAAAGGATAAGAATGCTATAGACAAATAGTCAATTCTTCTTTTCATAAAATTTAAAGAAAAATAAAAATAACAAAAAAAAACATAACTTCGTTTAGCATCCTTGTAATTCTTTTAATCTCTTTAAAATTTCCTAATTACTACCAATAACATAACTTTTCAAAAGTGCTATTTTAAAAAGGTAATGACTTACGATGAATGTTATGTGTACAAACATTTCTGAATGTCAACCACGAATGTATAATACTAATGAATCCGTCTCCGGCACTGATGAAACTGGAATCGCTTGTGATAGTATCGATGCTAATAATACCAGTGATGAAGATTGAATCAACTCATGATGCTATTTCTATCTCTTTTCATGTATGTATAAATCGATCGATGAAATATAGGTTAAAAAAATGAATAAATTAATTTTTACTTCATTCATTAAAAGATTTTCACATTAACTTTGTCATCGTAATTTCACCATGGAGGAAAAATGTGAAATAATAGAGAAATGATGAAACTATGTCAACTGTGGTGATAATAATTTTCATGAAACTTAAAGAAATTGTTTCACTGAATATAATCAGAAAATGATTGATAGTGAAGCGAATGTAATGAAAACTGATTTAAAACATCGTTATTAGAATAATTTGAGAGATAGAAAAGCAATAAAATAAATATAAAAGAACAGATGAATAATAAAACGATTGAGGGAAAAAAAAACAGTAAAATAACAAGCAAAAAATGAAACAATCTCTTTGAAGATTAAAATCAGAATTTGAAATGCATGAAATAATAATTATAACTTAAGAAATTTTGTAACTCATTTCATATTGAAAACAGAAAAAGGAACAATGAAAAAAAAAAACAGAATCCAAAGAACACTACACTGTTTATACAATAAAGTAATAAACAAATTCTGCGAAATAAAAATCTATGCAAAGTAACCCGAAAAAAAATCACAAAATTTTATTTTCAATACTATGACAGAAATGCGTATTTTGTCATTGAATCGTTTTGAGCAGCAAAATATCACCTTTTCATCAGGTGTTTATGACTTTAATATGGCTT